GTAAACGGTATGACTCACTGTGTCAGACTGCGGCTTTCACGCCAAGACTTCATGTTTTGTTTGTTTGTTTGGTTGGTTGGTTTTGGTTTGGGATTTTTGGTTTTCTTTTAAATTTTATTTTATTTTGAGGGGAGGTGAAAAAGGCAAGAGGGCAGAGATGAAAGGTCAGGGAGATGACTGGGATCAGGACACGTGAAATTCACAAAGAATCAACTAATTTTTTTTTTTAAAAAGTGACTCTGCCACAAAATGTCTGTTACCTGTAATCACAATTTATTTTATCTATCCATCAAATAAGGGGAGTGACTGAAACTAGTGATTCCCAAACTTTACAAAGTCAAAATATCATGTTCATTATTGTTGTTTGTGGGTTTCTTCTTTCAAAAGATCCCATATTCCCTACACAATATATTTGCTAGAGGGCCAACAAGATGACACATCATGCTAAAGCACTTTCTCCCAAGCCTGATGAATTTAGTCTCTGGAGTCCATACGGTGGAAAGGGAAGAATATCCCCAAAGTTGTCTTCCAACCCTTCACATTCTAACAGTGGCCTGAATACACCACGCACACTAATCAATTTTTAATATGTATATTTTCTAGATAATAAAAAATCAGTTAGTGTCATGATTTTGATTCTCTTGTACTTACTGAGCTGAGGACAGCAGTTTTTTTTGCTGGTCTTGGCTGGAAGTGTTGCTCTGTTCCTGGCCTGTTGTCCTTGTGCTATAAAAAAGCTCACAGCATGGCAGCTGTCTTCTATCACAAGAAGAAGGAGAGGATGAGAAAGGAGGAAAAGATCAAACTTAAGGTAGTTTTAAATTGAACCTCTAGACAATTCCATTACCCTTGTATATTCTGTTCTTAGGACTGAGGGAATCTAGCCAACACTAAGTGCATTAAAAAGAATAGAGCAATCTCAAACTAGCTACTTAGCAGCACACCTGAAAACTCTAGAACATATCCCAAAAGGAGCAGATGAACTAATCAATAAGAAATAATCAAAGTCAGAACTGAAATCAATACAACAAACAAAATAGCAACAAAAATACCTAGAATCGATGAAACAAAGAGTTTATTCTTTGAGAAAAATCAATAAAATTGACAAAGTCTTATTCAAATTAAATAACAGGCAGAAAGTAAATGTTCAAATTTAAAAAAATGAAATGAAAGGAGGGACATAACAGCCGTCACTGAGAAAATCTAGAGAATTATAAGGACATACTTTAATTTCCTAACTAAACTAGAAAATCTAAAAGAAATGGATAATTTTCTTTATAGGTACCATGTATCAATCTTAAATCATGATCAGATTAATGATTTAAATAGAGCTATAACCCCTAATGAAACAGAAGCATTAATTAAAAGTCTCCAATCCAAAAACCAAGTCCAGGGTCAGATGGTTTGAGTGCAGAATTCTAACAGACTTTCAAAGAAGAATTAATGCCAATACCCCTCAACTTATTCCACAAAACAGAAACAGAAGAAACACTGACCAATTTGTTGTATGAGGCCACAGTTATCCATAAAAATATAATAAAGAGAATTACAGACCAATTCCTCTTATGAGCACAGATGTAAAATTTCTCAGTAAAATACTTACAAATTGAACCCAAGAACACATTAAAAATCATCCCCCATAATTAACTAGGCCTCATTCCAGAGATTCAGGGATGATTCAATATACAAAAATCAATAAATGCAATTGACCATATAAATAAACTGAAAGACAAAACCTACACTGGATTCAGAAAAGGCTTTGACAAAATCCAACATCCCTTCTTGATAAAAGTCTTGGAGAGATCAGGGATACAAAGAACATAAGTAAACATAATAAAAACAGTATCCAACATCAAATTAAATGGAGAGAAACTCAAGGCAATTTTATTAAAGTCAGGAATAAGACAAGGCTGTCCACTCACTCCATAGCTCTTCAATATGATACTTGAAATCCTAGCTAGAGCAGTAAGACATCTGATGGAGATCAAGGGGATAGAAATTGCAAAGGAAGAAATCGAAAGTATCTTTATTTGCAGATGATATGATAGTATACATAAGTGACCCTAAAAATTCTACAGAAAAACACTCCTGCAACTGATAAACACTTTCAGCAAAGTAGCTGGATACAAAATTAACTCACAAAAATCAGTAGCCTTTCTGATGCAAATGACAAATGGACTGAGGAAGCAATCAGGGAAACAACACCTTGCACAACAGTCTCAAATAATATAAACTATCTTGGAGTAACTCTAACCACGCAAGTGCAAGATCTGTATGATAAAGCTTTAAGACAGTGGTTCTCAACCTTCCTAATGCTGAGACTCTTTACTACAGTTCCTCATGTTGTGGTGACCCCTAACCATAAAATTATTTTAATTGCTACTACAACTGTCATTTTGTTACTGTTACGGATAATAATGTAACTATCTGTGTTTGCCATAATGGCCCTTGTTAAAGGGTTGTTTGGCCCACCAAAGAGTCATGACCCACACTATGGTCAAGACATTGAAGAAGATCAGAAGATGGAAAGATCTTCCACGCTCATGGATCACTAGGGTAAGTACAGTAAAAATGTCCATCCTACCAGACTCAACCTACAGATTCAACACAATCCCTATCAAAATTCCAACTTCACAGATCTTGAAAGGATAATTTTTAGCTTCATTAAGGAACACACACACACACACACACACACACACACCACACGGATCACAAAACCAGTCCTGAATAATAAAAGAACCCCCTGTTATTCCTTTGATCTGGTCCCTTTAAGGGCAAGCCACGCCCACTCCCAGCCACTTCTGACCCCCTCCTGGCCATCTTAACTTTTTCCTTCTGTTCCCTCTCTCAGCGTGTGCACATGTGTCTTCTCTATGTCTCTATGTCTCTATGTCTCTCTGTCTCTCTGTCTCTCTGCCTCTTCTTTAAGTAATAGATGTTCATCTTTATATTCAGCCTTATGTTTATTTATTATGTCCTGTAAGCCTTTTATCCGCCGCACCTGGTCACCCGCCCCCCTGACTCTCCCGGCCGCATGGCTGGTACCAGTCTGTCCGGGATGAGCCCTCTGCTGCTCGCCGCAGGGAACCTGCACCGCTCTAGCCATCTCTGCCTGGACTAACTGCTGTGGTCACACTAGAATTATATTTTTAAAGAACAAAAGCCCCAACCTCAAGCTCAAAAGGCAGAGACTGGGGCTGTGCACAGGGCTTGCTTGGGCCTGCACCAGATGGGCGATGATTGGAAAGAAAGAAGTAAAGCAGATGATATAATAGTGGACATATGGACTGACTGTTGATCCCTGATTACTTTCTCAGTTTTGCGATACATGTCTTATAGTTTTCCCAATGAGCAAAAAAGCCTAAGGAAGAGATTTCCAATTCTTGTAGCCTTCCAGTTTCCTATTTCTTCCTTCGTTGTTGTTGTTGTTGTTTTGTATGTTTGTTTGTTTCGAGACAGGGTTTCTCTGTATCTTTTGGGGTCTTCCTGGAACTAGCTCTTGTAAACCAGGCTGGCCTCAAACTCACAAAGATCCACCTGCCTCTGCCTCCCGAGTGCTGGGATTAAAGGCGTGTACCACCACTGCCTGGCCCAGTTTTCTATTTCAAAACCACTTTCAAATGAAAGTTTAATTTTCTTCAAAGGAATCTCACTGAGGAAACAAGCTACTCATGAGGATAGGTTGTGTGCACAGCAGTAGGTCTCTCTCTCGCTTTCTCTCTCTCTGTCTCTTTCTTTCTCAATTTTATCTTATTTTTTATTTTTATTTTATTTTTATATTTTTCTTCTTTTTTATCCTACAGGCCCTGTGCATATAGACTATGGTTTTCAGTTTAGTGTATTTATGGGATTTCTGGGTGTGCAAAAGAGGTTTTGAGGTTTCAAAAGCCCAGAGCCAGGCCCAGTGTCTGTCTCTCTGCCTGCTGCCTATGGATCACAACAAAGAGCTCTCAGCAACTGCACCAGTGCCATGCCTGTCTGCTTGCTGCCATGATGGTGGGCTAACACTCTGAAACTGTAAGCAAGCCCTCAATTAAATGCTTTCTTTTATAGGAGTTAACTTGGTCATGGTGTCTCTTCATAGCAATGGAACAATAACTAAGACTCCTACGCATGACCTCCTACACACGTGAAAACACCCATTGCACACACACACACAGCACATGTATATACATATGCAAAAATAAAAAGGAGGTTACATTCTTCATCTATATCATAACTACATATTGGCATTTGCAGGCTGGGAACAACTCTGTGATAAGCAAGTTTGACTTTGTTCAGAATGGTACTGTTCACAATTGTCTGGTCATACAACATTTATTCTGCCTAGACAGTCTAATGTCTGGAAGATTAATGTGCTACAGACAGCGTGTACCTAGTAGCATATTGCAGTAGGATTTGGAGCCAAAAGTTGTAGCGACTGAACCAAAGATACTTTTTATTTATTTATTTATTTTTCTTGAAATAGGGTCTCATGTAGCCCAGACTGACCTTGAACCTCCTATGTAGCTAAGGATGACCTTTAACTCTTGATTCTGTTGCCTCTACCTTGCTAATGCTGAAATTATAGGCACATTAGGCATATACCACTATGACTAGCTTCCTCTTCTGTTCTCATCTTTCAAAGAAAGAATACAAATTTTCAGTTCTATAAGATGTGAATCCTAGTCATGGTTTCACTTTTCTTCCCTGTGGAACTCTTTCAAAGAACTGGAGTTTTACAATATATGATGTGGAATTCCCCTCTGTATGCTGTGAATACCATTGGTTAATAAAGAAACTGTCTTGGGCCTGCGCAGAGAATAGAGGTAGGCAGGGAAAACTAAACTGCATGCTGAGAGAAAGAAGGGCAGAGTCAGAGGGACGTCATGCAGCCCCGCTGGAACTTTAGCTGGTAAGCCACAGCCACGTGGCGATACACAGCTTAATAGAAATGGGTTAAATTAATATGTAAGAGTTAGCCAATAAGAAGCTAGAACAAATGGGCAAAGCAGTGGTTTAACTAATACAGTTTCTCTGTGATTATTTTGGGGCTAAGGGGCCGGCAATCAGCAAGCAGCTCTCTCCTCCTACAAATACATGTCTCATAGTTTTCTAGATCAGGAAGCTAAGGCCTGAGGAGGAGATTTCCAACGCTTGTCTCCTTCCAGTTCTTGCTGAAGACATGTGCTTCCTACTTAAACACCAACTCCACATCAAACCCACCAGTACACACACCCATTCCCTCTACCAACCCTACTCTAGGGCAGCATAATAAAACATATGAGCAACATTAAATGGACTCATTGGACGGTATTTATATATACCTGTGTCAATGGTTCTCAACCTTCCTAATGCTGTGATGCTTTAATACAGTTCCTCATGTTGTGGTGACCCCAGTCATGAAATTATTTTTATTGCTACTTCATAACTGTAATTTTGTCATTGTTATGAACCATAACGTAAATCTGTATTTTCCAATGGTCTTAGACAAGCTGTGTGAAAGAGATGTTAAGCTCCCAAAGGGTCACAACCTACAGGTTGAGAACCACTGACCTATGTATATGGATGTAACAATATTTAAAGAATAGTTCATGAATTTGAGAGGGAGTTGGGCAGGATATGGGAGGAGCTGGAGAGGAGAGAGGGACATGTGGAAATGATGTAAGCACAATACTCATGTATGAAACACTTTTTAAAAAGGAAGCCAGTATTTATACAATGGGAATAAAAGAGGTCAGAGCAGAATGTTCCAGGCCTAATGCTTGTCTTACTGCTAGTTTTTGCCTTTCTCATGTTCTGTGTGAGGACTGCCGTCAACCCAAGACCTGTATCTGGAGAAAAGTCCAAGGTGAACAGATATTACATAAGATGACAGGGAAAGGACAACTATGCTCACTGCTGTTTCAGTTTAAAAAGTGACAGTCCTTTTCACTCATACCTGCCAATCTTCAGAGCCCTCAACATTGGATTCTGCAAGTATTCTTCATCCCTGTGTTGGAGAATGACTAACCCAAAGCTGAGAAAATAAACACGACTGTGGAATAGTCACATGACTGGGAAATCTAACTGTATCAAACTATAGCTGGCAAAGCCCACCCCCTCATCTCATCAACAGATGACTCAGCATCTCTATTACCAGCATTGGAGAGGATCATTCAGAGTGCTCATTGTTTGTCAAGCAGGAGGAACCTCATGACTGCCTTCTTCAAAGCATCCTTGAGTTCTCTGTTCCTCATGCTGTAAATCAAAGGATTCAGCATAGGGGTGATGAATGTATAAACCACAGAGACTACCTGGCCCCGCTCAGGAGAGTAACTGGAGCTGGGACACAAGTAGATGAGACTTGTACATCCATACTGCAGGAGGACCACAGTCAGGTGGGAGGAACAGGTAGAGAAGGCTTTGCGCCTCCCCTCGGCTGAGCGGATCTTCAGGATGGCATCCACAATGAAGACATAGGACAGAGTGATGAGGAGGAAAGGGATGGTGAGGACGATGACACTGACCACAAACAGAGTGGCCTCGTGGACATGGGTGTCTGCGCAGGCCAGTCTCATGACAGGGAGGACATCACAGTAGAACAGGCTGATTTCCTTACTGCTGCAGAAAGGCAGCCGGAAGATGAGCACGGTCAACTGCATGGCCAAGATGAACCCCAGCAACAGGGACCCCAGGGCCAGCTGGATACACAAGTGCCAACTCATGATGAGGGTGTAGCGCAGAGGGTGACAGATGGCCACAAACCTGTCGTAGGCCATGACGGCCAGCAGGATGCAGTCAGCACTGCCCAGGAAGATGAAGAAGAACATCTGAGCACCACAGCCTGCCAGGGAGACCACAGTTCTCTCTGCGGACAGGACGCTGGCCAGAGTCAGCGGAGCTATGGTGGAAGAATAGAAGATCTCCAGGCTAGCCAGGTTCGCCAGGAAGAAGTACATAGGGGTGTGGAGACACCGATTGGTCCAGATGGTGAGGACGATGGACATGTTTCCTCCGAGGCTGATCAGGTACATCATGAGGAGGACCACAAAGATCAGCATCTGCACCTCAGGGAGTCTGGAGAAGGGGCGGAAGTGGAAGAGGACCATCCCAGTCTGATTCCCTTCTTCCATTTATTTAGTGCATTGGGACTGCTATTGGCACACGTGACACCCCTGAGGACAGACAGATATTAGGACCTGATGTTCCTACTGGGCAATATGCTAGATTCCCACCCTCACCAACCCTTGTTACCTCAAATCCAACTATTTTTTTACACTGAGTCTACACTCAGCAGCTCACTTCCATAACTGTTCTAATCAAAGAGTAACAGTTGACTACTTAAAGATTTTGTTGGAATAGAGCATTAACTACATTCTCACTTTATAACTGTGCCTCTGTCTATTCTGTTCTTCTCCCAAAAATCTAAATCTAAGCTGTTTATATGATAACTCTCCACAGTCCTCTACAGTTCTCTGCTTTCATTCTTTCTCTGTGAATTTGCCTCCAGTTACCTCAATACACAAGAAATTATTCAGTTTATTAAACATAATCTTTCAAGGGGCAATCATGTCAAAATACATATTTTAAAATGTTTGAGCTGAGGTACCTTTTACGGGCAGTTAATACTGCTCCCTCCTAGACTTTGAAATGAAAATCACAGTACCAGATGAGGGATACCTCCCGATGAGTTGTTAGTTATGGAGGTTCCAGAGACTCTCAAAACAATACAGATTCTTATTTTAAGTAAATGGTAGAGGTAAGACACTATTAATGAAGACACACCACAATCTTTGGTTACAAGACACAGAGAAATCAAGGTGGAACTTCACTGGAAGATTCCTCCTTACTGGTGGGAATTCATAGTTTCAGAAAGTCAAAAACCTGTCGTTGGGATGCTCAAATACTCTTTAGGTGGTATTGGGGGGTGTAATTTACTGCTGATGTTTCCCTGAATGGGCATGTAGTAAAATTGCCTTATGAATATTTATATTTTTATCCATTGACCAAATTCTGTTCTTGGTCTTGCAAAAAACCAAAATTCTTTTGCAGAGAACAACAGCTAAAGCAGAGACTCATAACTAGTCAAAGTGCTGAGAACAAATGACTGTTGAGTGCTTAACCCTAAACAAAACATCTCTAGGACTACTTTAGAGATCCAAGGAACATCGTGGAAAAGGGGGCAGAAAGATTTTTAAGAGTCAGAAGATAAGGAGAAGGGCTATGAAATGCTATCGTCTGGATGGAACATGGCCATTGCACTGCAAACTTGCAACAGTTGTGGCTACCTGCCCAAGATAAAGCCATTTAACATCCCATCAAGATTGGGAAAGAGCTTGTGAGGTGCGTTAAGCTCCTCCATTAAAAGCTATAAGCAGGTTGCCAGAGGACCTGGAGTCATTTTCTTCAGTAGTATAGCCACCAGCAATTTACTTATGCTCCAGTAAATAGTCCCTACCCATGTTTATAAAAGTAACTCTAAACTCGTTGTAGAGAGGGGAGGATGAAGTAGGATAAAAGTTAGAAAGGAGATCATCATAAGTAAAAAAAACTTTAAGAGATGATAATAGAGGTGGATATGATTATAACACATTGTATACATGCATGAACTTGTCCCAAATTTTTAAATTACACTACTTTCATGACTGAATAGCATTCTATTGTAAGTATGTGTTACATGGTTGTTTTATCCACTCATCAGTTCATCAACAATGCACAATTTCTCCCTTTTGTTGGCTATTGAGAATAATGTTGGAATAATTTAGCAAAACAATAACTTTTCAAGCCAAGTCGTCACAGAAATCTTAAGCCACAGTAAACCACACTCAAGCCACAAACCCTTCTACTTTCATGACCCTTTTCCTAGTAGTCAAGAGTGTCTCTGGAGGTAAATTGTATAGGTGATAGTGTTAGAATGTATAGGCCAACAATGTGATCTTAGGCAATCTGTGGAAACTTCCTGCTTTAAGTTCTTCACCCAGAAAAAGATCAGTGAGACTCTACTCTTGGAAACATTAGGAGGATAAATCTGCCTGGGCCCTAGTAAGATCTCTATGAACACTAGTAGTAATCATTGAAATTATTGTTCTTATGGAGGCTGGAGCAATGGTTAAGTCGTCAAGAATACCAACTACTCTCCCAAAGAACCCACATTCAAATACCACATGTAATGGGTAGTTACATGGTAGCTAATAACTATCTGTAACTCTGGTCCCAGGGAATCCAACATCTTCTTCTGGCCTCTGTGGACACTATACAAATGTGGTACACAGACATACATGCAGACAAAACATACACATAAAAAAACAAAAATAAATAAAACTTAAAACCAAAATGCTTTTTCTAATCTCTGGTTTTCTTCTGTCTCTTCAAGACCTGCTTGATGCCTCCAGCTTCTCCCAAAAGTCTTCTTTGAGTTCCTCCTGGTCCCATCCAATCAACATTCACACATAGCTCTTCTTAGTCTTCTGCCAATACACACCATCTCAAACGCTTTGACTTTCTATAATCTTATTACCTTCTGTAATATCCATCATCCCTAATGAGACTAGACAAGACAACATGACAATGGCTGGGGACACCAGAGATTGAGTGGTACGTATTATCAACTCCAACAATTCCATCTTCTGAATAAACTCTTGTTTTGTTCTTCTATAACACTAATAGAAAATTCCCTGGTGTCTTCAAATGTTCTATTCCACCTTAGTTACTTTTTTTATTGCTGTGATAAGACACTTTGACTAAGGCAACTTATAGAGGAAAGAAAAGAGTTTAATGGGGACTCGATTACAGCTTCAGAGGGTAAATCCGTGATCGTCATGATAGGGAGCACGGCAACAGATAGGCAGGCATGGTGCTGGAGCAGTAGCTGAGAGCTTACATGGGATACCAAAGTATGAAACAGAGAGCGAGAAAGAGAAAGAGAGAGAGAGAGAGAGAGAGAGAGAGAGAGAGAGAGAGAGAGAGGGAAATGGTGTGAGCTTTTGAAATCCCAAGCCCACCCCCTCCAACAAAGCCACACCTCCTTCCAAAACAGATCCACCAACTGGGGTTATGTATTTGAACATATGAACTTATGAGCCTATGGGGGCTATTCTCATTCAGGCCACCACAACTGATGATCTAGCTTCCAATGTCATAAAAGGCTACCTGGAGGACACTTAATATCATTCTCATCAGCTTTAGACAAAACATTCTCTGCTGACCTTTGAGATGATCACACATTATCATACTCCTTGGTATATGGACTCTTTATCTACTGTTAAACTAATTTCTCAGACCTTCCTGTTTCCTCTGGGAATTTCCTCCATGAGGTATTTGCTCAATCCAGTATCTACATCACTGCTCCCCCATCCTACAGCAACTTCATCACCTAGAGTATAAAGCAGCTGCCAGCAGTGTTACCCTTCAAGACGTTTTGCCATATTTGGTAGAAATGTTCATAATCCCTCTGCTTGGGAGGTGGAGGCAGGAGGAAGAGTAGTTCATGATCATTCTTAGCCATATAGTAGGGTCTGAGGCCAGTCGGGGCTAGATCAGATCATGAGACTGGGTCTCCAAAGTAAAAGAAAAAAACAGAAAGGAAGGAGAAGGAGAAAAGGAGGTGGAGCAAACAAAAACCCTCTTTTTCTCGTTCTCACAATAGTCATTACATGTTCTTTATTATAAGCAGACGAGCAGTCTGGTTATATTTAATCCCTTTACTCCTTAAAACTGTCTTAATGAAGGCCACCAAGGACCTTCCAGTTCCTGAATCAAATAGGCAGCTTTGAGTTCATCTATGTTGCATTCAAACCAATTGGTTACTCCCCTTTTCTGGAAATTCCTCGTTTCTGGTCTCAGTGATGATACCAGTCTATCTTCCCATCTCTCTGAACACTCCATTTTAACACTTCGAAAGCCTACTCTTCCTGGTCAAGGCTCACTCAGACTGGGTTTTACTGGCTAGTCAACTGATTGCCACCCCCCCCCACCAGATCTACCTTCCACCCTACCCATGTCCTGTGGAAGGCCAGTCTCTAAGGACTGTATCAGCTGGGTCCATCACTCTGGCTTCTAGTTAAGTTTAACCAAAGGTAGGAACTAGCAGGAGAATGAATAACTTCATAATGAAAGGCAGGGAGCTCATCTCACAAAGACTATCATCCCTTCCCATCCCTGTGGTTCAGTGACCACAGCTCTGAGTGAGTGCCCTATCCTCCATAGGCAAGGTATGACTGGGCTCCAGTGGCTCTGCCCCCTTACCTTGTTACTCCTGCCCCAAGGATAGAAAGAGCTTCCCATCACTGCTGGTCCTCAGTGCTCCACCATCCCTTATGGGTTCCCTGAATTCCGGCCTTTGTAAATAATCTCAATACTAGATGCTGGTCCATAATGTTCTACATAAAGCAGGTTATAATAATTAATTGATGCTTAAAGAGACAACATCTCTTGTTTTCTTGAAGTTTTAATATTGAGTATTCCTTGCACTGCTTATGATTAATAGGAACAAACTTCACTGCAAATTTTTATGGTGTCTACACTAACAATAACAAATGAGACCAATGGAAATACACACAAATGTAAGCACACACAAGCATGTATACAATCACATACCTTTGCCACCACATCCCGCGTATAAGCAAAATCAGACATCTGTTCTTTCTCAAGTGTATAAACTTTGTCTTCCTTCGGGTTGTTATTTTAAAATACCACTGACTGAGTAGCTCAGACCGTAGACTTCTATTGCTTAAAATTCTGACCCCAGAAAAATCCCAATTTAAGGTAACCATAGGTTGGGCCACAGTGTTCTGTGATGGCAGATTGCTGCCTCCTTCTTCTGTAGCCTCACATGGCAGAGAGGAAATTGTACCCACTTCCTCCTCCAGAGGAGCACTAATACCTTCACAGGGCTTTTAGGCCATGTCTTCATCCAAACCTACTTCCTCCTCAGGCTCCACTAACCAACAACACCACATTGCAGAGTTTAACACTGGCATTTGGACAGGGTCGGATGCAGACGCTCAGTTCAAAAGCATCTAAGCTGCCACGGCAGACAGAAAAACATGACTGTGTGCTTTGTTCTCTGAATTAACAGTGAAGACACACAAGGGGTCAGGAGCATCCCCAGCAGAATGTGTCTTTGCCTATATTTGCTGTGCTCCTGTCTGAGGACATACCATGACCTTTGCACATGCGACAATCATGGAAGGTTGTTCCTTTCCATCACGGAGAAGGGGGCAAACAGTATTCCTTCCGATTGCAGCTTTCCCTTAAAGCTGTTTCTGTGTTTTGGAATAGCCATACCTTTTAAAACACGATTTCATGCCCACGCTGCTCTTTGAGCTCGGTGCTGTCATCTGATGCTGCAGAGACATTTGGGACATCCATATCTGGTTAGGGCAGTTAGAAAATGAAAGAAAAATTAACATAGAAAGTCAAACAACCCAATCAATAGATAGGCTATTGAAGGGAACAGATGGTTTAGAAAAGATAAAGTAAACATATGAAAAAAAAAAGGTTCAGGAGGTGGGCGAGGAGGTTCAGCAGTTAACAGCACTTACTGCTCTTACAGAGGACCTGAGTTTGGCTTCCAGCAACCATGCTGGGCAGCTCAAAATCATCTCTAACCTCAGCTCCATAGGACCTAACATCCTCCTCTTACCCTGTGGACACTCACACACATGTGACAATGTTATACACTAAACATAGACACACATAAATTAAAAATGAATTTAAAATAATTTTAATGCTCAACCACAGTAGTCACCAGAGAAAAGCAAACCTAAACTACCATTTCCATCTCACCCTTGTCATAACTCCAGTCGCCAGGAAAACAAATGCTCTCTGGACCCGAAACGAAGGGAGCACTCATGCATCACTGGTAGGAGGTAAACGAGGGCAGCTGCTGTGGAAATCCGAATGGTGTTTTCTCACAAACCTAAAACTCCCATGTGAACTAGCTGCATCACTCCTGGGTACTTACTCAAAGGACTCCAGGCCAACATACGATAGAGATAACTGCACATCAGCGTTCGCTGTAGCACTGTTCACAATAGCTAAGTTATTGAACCAACCTAGGTGCCCAACAACAGTAGAATGGGTAAAGAAAACACAACACAAGTTTTCAGCCATAAAGAAGGAAGTTCGGTTGTTGGCAGGAAAATCGGTGGAATAGAAGACAATCACATTAAAAGAATTAAGCCAGCCTCAGAAAGACAAATGCCCTGCTTTCTCTTGTTGTGGTTATTCGACTCCATAGAGATACACAAAAATTGTGGGTGTATACAGGACAGGAAAGTAAAAGCAAACTGTCTAGGGAGGCAAGGACGGCTGATGGGAGGGAAAGATGTGAGGAAGAGGAAGGCAGAAAGTGTGGGCAGCATATGTTCAATATATAATGTATACTTGTATGAATACTTAACTTAGCTTTTAGAAAGGGAAATACAAGAGAACACATGGGTAGGTAGGTTTTGTCTGGGAGTTTTTCAAACACTTAAATTCGTCAGCTGTGAGCAGAACTAGGGTACACACTCCCAACCTCTCTGTGTGTGCAAGGCACCGAGGATAGCTAGCAGACCTTCCTTCCACACCTGGCATCTGGTCTTCATGGTTAAACACAAAGAGAATGGCCATGATCATTTAGTGACATATTTACTTCTGTGTTCGTTCATTTACAGCCATACCCTTATGGCTCCCAGCATTAGTGACTTTGTTGACACTCAGTGATGCTTACAGCCTGAACCAGTGCCTGGCACTTTACAGTTATGCAATGACCAATACACTGAAGACTCCCTGAGTGAGATTCACAGGGTGGGGACTGGGAAGATGGCTCCGTGCACGAAAGGGCTTGCTCTGCAAGCTTGAGAGCTTGCGGTCAGACAGCCCAGTCAAAGCAGCAAGCTTTCAGTTAGTTGAGAGTTCCTATCTCGAGGCAGTAAGGCAGGAGGCAGCCATAGAGGAAAACACACAATGTGCTGCTCTGGCCTCAGCATGTGCACATAAGTGCATCTACACCGGCACCCTGGCAGACTCGTGTGCACGCAGCACGCCCACGCACACATGCACATGGTGGGGACGGGTCCTCTGTCTCCACATCTCCACACTCATGACATAGCACACGAACACACACACACACACAAAGTGTGATTAAAAAAATTAACCCAGGAATGCTGTGAAATGAGAGCTTCTGGACTTGGCATGGCTTTTAACACACAACAGCTATAATCAATCCAACTGAGCTTCCAGCACAGATGTGGAAGCTTCCCTCCGAAAAACCCCCACCTCTCTCTCTCACTGTTTTGGTTTAGTTATTGCTGTTTTGTTGTTTGTTTTGCATTTTTTCAAGACAGGGTTTCTCTGTGTAGCCCTGGTTGTCCTGGAACTCCCTGTAGACCAGGCTGGCCTCAAACTGCCTCTGTCTCCTGAGTGCTGGAATTAAAGGTGTGCGTCTCCACCGCCCAGCCACAACCTTCCTCTTACTGAAGAAACACTGACAGTTGAAAGCTCCTGGAGGAGTTTTGTTTTTCATTTTGTTGGTTTGTGTTTGAAGGTGTGACCACTGGTAGATTTCTCCTGCTGCAATGGATGTTCCAAAACCTATGCATATATGGACTGCGCTAACAGGACTCACTATGTTATATTTAAAGACAAGGAAATGAAGTTTAGAGGTTTGTGTCAAAGAGGATTTGGGGGTAGCCATGACCAAGTTACATTGCATACATGTCTGAAAAAAATCTCAAAAATAAAGAAAAACTAATATTTAAAGATCCCCCTGAAAGTTTAACTTACCATTCCAGACTTTTGAAATCCTGGGGAAACTTCCAATTTTTGACTCAGTATATAGCCAAGTTCCCCCACTGACATCTGCAATTGCAAGGAACTTGTGCCCCAAAGCTAAGTCTGCTCACTGAACCTCAGCTCCAGGAGCTGCACCCCCACCCAGGCTCCTCTAGCCAACATGGTTCAAGTGAGTTCAACATCAGACAAGCAAAGAGGGAAAGGGTCATAGAGTAGACGCTGACTAAGACTCTCAGCGAGTTTCTTGTCTGTAAATAAACACCATTTCCTAAGAGGAAGAGCGCCAGGGTTCTCTTTAGCACACACTCCACAGCCTTTTGTTCCTCTTCCTTTATTTTAGCTTATCTGTTTTGTTGTTGTTGTTCTTAGTTGGGTTTTTTGTTTTGTTTTGTATTGTGTTTAAAATTTTTGAGTTTTTTTTTAATTTGTGTGTGTTGTGTTTTTTTTGAGTCAGGATTTTTTTGTTTTGTTTTGGTTTTTTGTTTTTTGTTTTTTGTTTTTTTTTTGAGTCAGGGTCTTACTCTGTAATACACAGCCCAGACTGGCTGAAACTACCTATGTAGCCCAGGCTGGCCTCAATCTCCTGGAGAACTTGTTGCTTCAGCCTCCCAAGTGGTGGTATTACAGGCAAGAGCCACTACACACAATTTTGCTGTCTTGAGACATATATTGACTTTATAGCCAATGCTGGTCTTGAACTCATGATGTTCACACCTTGCCTCTCAAACGCTGGTATTATGGGTGTGCATCACACTCCTGGAGCTGCATACACATTTTTTGAGTAGACATATATACATATGTAATCCTATTTGACCGTTTAATGCTGGGGTTTTTGTTGTTGTTGTTGTTTTTGTGGTAGCTGCTAAGAAACCAAAACTAAGCTTGATACTCAATTATTGAATATTCTTTGGCCCAAATTAAAATTAAATTTATATTTGTATTTCCATTTTTTTCTTTTATCTTACGCAATTAATTTTGAGCTTGAGATCTGATTATGAGTTATTTTATTTTATTTTTTGGTTTTTTGAGATAGGGTTCCTCTGTAGCTTTGGAGCCTATCCTGGAACTTGCTCTGTAGACCAGGCTGGCCTTGAACTCACAGAGATCCACCTGCCTATGTCTCCCAGAGTGCTGGGTTTAAGGCATAAACCACCACTGTCCTGCTGAGTTATTTTATTTTTAAGAGCATCCAAAGTATAAGAAACATAGAAATAGACACTTACTCTTGCCTGCAGTGGCTTTCTCCAAGGCGTTGATGAACAGCTGAGACAGCTCCCCACTCTCCCCTTCTCCATGCATCCCTCTCTGATGACTTAGCAAAATGACGAAAGTGAAATACTGCGAGCTTCTGCTGTAGGTAATGGCGCTCTTCTCCTGTGTTCCCTGCTACACTGGTGACTGCACAACTCCCTGTCCTTGAAGGTGGGGTTGGTAAGCTCTGGGTGTCTTCTCACCTTAATCATGTGTCATCCTCAGATGTGTCTTTACCAGTACAGTCTCAAAAAGCATCATCCACAAGTCTCTCTCTCCTTTTCCAGAAATTCTGTTTAGACTGTAAAACTTAGATGCTGTGTTGATGGCAGTATATTGTCTGGCTGTGCAACAAAGCACTCATTCCTCAAGGGAGGATAGTTTTCTGACTACCAATGGCAACCTTCAGAACTGATCACTTTTCTAGGGAAACGGATCTCTCTCTCCTCTGATCCTTTGCAAGGAGGAGTTTACTCTAAAGACTGGTTTGTGGAGCTTATTGCTTATACTAAAAAAAAAAAAAGTGACCCCTCGTTAGCTAGAGGAAGTTAAACTCTCCAACTTATCTGTAATTCAACACCAGAAAGCCCCTCTAGGAGATGCCAAGGTCAGGAGCATTCATTGGCCCAGTCCCAGGGTCTAGAACACAAAGCAGCTCAGACAGGTCTCCTCTGTCTCCTTCCTTTCTTCTGCCTGGGAGACCTGGCACCACATCCTCAACCCAAGGCTGACTCAGCCCCAAGCTGTGGTCCTCCTAATGGTTTCACAACCATGGAGCTCAACCTC